AGCACAAGTACATCTGTAAAACGTCTGCTAAAGATCTGGGAAACATCTGCTGTGTAATCTGATAGCGTCTCAGAAGCAGCTTTACATGCATTCTAATAAATGTCTATTTGACATCTGACAGGAAACGTATAGAGACGTATTGCAGATGAGCAAACACTCTAAAAACATACATCTTGCATATGTAAATGCAGACATCAGATAGACATCTCCGAGATGTACATGTGCGATTAGGCTGAGTGCTTTACTGTCAGGTGCTGGTGCCATCTTCTGTAGAACTTAATGGCTCTGGTGCTGGTGTCCTAAAATGTTAGTCTGGAGCCCTACAATGGTTCTCGAAGTCAGAAAAGTCTTAATGTTAGAAGAATGTTGTCTGTGGTATATTTTCACTGCAAAACAATAAGAAATGCCGCAAATATCACCGCAAATTTTGAGAAAAGCCGCAGCAAAATCAGTCATTTTAGGAGCAAAAATCTGAAAAAAGTCCCGCGAAATCCTGGAGGGACTGACTGCCAGAGGAATACTCGGACTGATTTAATTTAATTTTATAATTTATTTATTACAATTTATTAATTTATTATATTATTTTGTTTATATTTGCATTATATTTATTGCGATTAACCTCCCGTTCTTTTTCACAGTATAATGACAATTCAATCGTTGCACGCAATCACGGAGAATATAACTCGACTAAGACGATCAAACTTATTTTTAATTATCGTCTATGGGCTGGAAATATTTCTTTATTTTAACAACTTCAATTTGATGCAATTGAGATTGCATAATAAAGTCAGCGCGTGAAAAAAAAATGTGAGCATTATGTTTAATAGCCTACAAGTTTGCCCTAAACCTTTAATTGAATCCTTCTATACAGCCTTTAGTCATGTTTTAAGCTTTGGCTAATACTAATGCTTATTAATGTGATATGTTGTTTGTATAGTTTTCTTGCTGTTCTGAAATGAAATAAGGTGATCAGACTGTGAAGAATTGCCGCCTACACATACATATATATACAAATACGCATCGGGATATCGTGACAACATATTCCTTCGTTTCATAATACTTAATGAATTGTTGTAAACTGAGATTGGTGTCTTTAGAAGACATATATGTGCTGAATTCTACATAAATCATCCACGACAATGCCGTGCTATATGGGCACAGCCATTGATAGAGGCTGCAGCGGAAGTTTTTTACGCAACGCAACTATTTGAATCTTCCGCTTTTCAAACGCGTAAGTTTGATAAAGGCCTGTTCAGTTGTTGCGAACCTGCGTTCAGACATCAGTAAATATCAGTATTTAATTGATACTCAAGTAAAAGCTTTCCAATCATGGGCACGTCTGACGCGACCAAGATTTTTGCTCTGCTTTGTGTTTTTCTTCTCTGTGGGACTTCGCCCTCACTTCAGACAGGTAAATGATCACATTTTGCCTCGTTTTGTCAGAGAAAGAAAGTGAAAGTAACACTTCCTGGTCTACAACGGCTTTGTTACCACAGATATGTTATACATTTTATTACGAATGTATGCTAACATCGTACATTTAAAAGTGTCTATATATATATCTATATACTGATATAAATAATTATATAAGAGTTTTGTCAACTTAAAAGCAACTATCCACGAACTTGATGTCCTAAACGTTGATCCACATGGCAGCGGCCTATTTACCAGCATCTTTATTACTGATCATAATATCGATCCCAGGATTAGACATGTTTGTACAGGTTCAGGATTATGTTTTAGCAGCCAGCCTCGTGCAGGGGCCTAAACTTGGCCACCCCACTCAAAACTGCAGTTTATGTTCCTTTTTTTTTCTTGACAAGAAATTCATTTATTAAACCACATAAAACGGGAGACTTTTCAGACGCGTACTTCAGCTTCGCCTCAGCGCCAGGCGCAAGTCAAACGCGCGTGGAAAGGAACATGTGCCAAATGAGCCTCAGTAGAACATGTGCCAAATGAGCTTCAGTAGAACATGTGCCAAATGAGCTTCAGTAGAACATGTGCCAAATGAGCTTCAGTGAACTGCGGTTTGATGAGATGTTGTTAGGCTATATGTCAGTAAAACAAACTTTCCTGTCCTGACAGCTGTTTTACCGTGCTCACGGCGCACACTCTTTAACTTTACGCGAATATATGGCGCACGCTCTATATCGCTTCATCATAAATAAAGCTAACAAGAAACTATGAACATACAATATATTTTTGTCGTCAGTTAAGCCATGAAATTACCAAAAAGGCGATTCGTGCATTCATGTATGTAGCATCACATTAAAGAACGTCTCTCAAATGCATGTACTAAAATATTGTGCAATTCTAGATCACATATAAGGCGCAAGCTGTTTTTTTTTTCTTTGTAATTTAATGCACAAATAAATTTGAACATACTAGAAAACATGCACTATTTATTTATTTATTTTTACAAACGAAAACGAAACCATTTAAATGCATAAAATAACTAATTTTACATTCTTGCATTTATGTGCTGGTGACTTTTTTTTTCTTCTTTTTCTTTTTTATTAACCAATTTTTATCACTATCTGCATGTCTCATCAATGAGGATGCAATGATGGAGAGCAAGCTTTTGGGGGTTTTGAGAACTAGAACCAAGCTGACTGAGCATTCATGTATGTATAGCATCACATTAAAGAACGTCTCTCAGATGCATGTACTAAAATATTGTGCAATTCTAGATCACATATAAGGCGCAAGCTGTTTTTTTTTTCTTTGTAATTTAATGCACAAATAAATTTGAACATACTAGAAAACATGCACTATTTATTTATTTTTACAAACGAAAACGAAACCATTTAAATGCATAAAATAACTCATTTTACATTCTTGCATTTATGTGCTGGTGACTTTTTTTTTCTTCTTTTTCTTTTTTATTAACCAATTTTTATCACTATCTGCATGTCTCATCAATGAGGATGCAATGATGGAGAGCAAGCTTTTGGGGGGTTTGAGAACTAGAACCAAGCTGACTGAGCAATAAAGCTATAGTGAGCCCCTTTATTAAAATACCTGGAGGTGGGGAATAATACACAAATGGTCATATTCACTCAGCATTACTTGATCTAATTCACAAATATATTAATTGTATTCAGTTGTGTTTTAGGCACTAAAACAGTCCAATACTTTATAGTCAATCACATTTTTATATTGAAATAATGAAGATTTCTGTGCCACCCCAGACTGGTTGCTGGCCCCTCCCTGGCCACCCCTAAAAAAACATCCTGGCTCTGCCACTGGCCTCGTGTTAATTTATCAAAAGAATGTGATCCTTCTGGATAAACGGAGATTATAACAAAATTTTAAAACTGAAAATATATTAATTTCACTGTATCCAGTAAGATAGGTCTTGTTTGATCGGCTTGTTCTCTCATTGAATCATAGTTCTGGATTTATAATAAAGTTACTCTGTTCAATTCTTTCTGTAACTGAAATGTTTTGAGACTGTCCTGAGTGCGCCTCACCCACCTCATGTTGCCATTTCCTTCAGAAATGTAGCAACCCCTTTTATCACATTTACTTCAATAGTTGATATAATGCATATTATATTCCTCTTTACTGCAGAGAAACACTCCCTGTATTACATTTACACGGCCTTGTCCCAACCTGTCAATCAGCCGGGCATCTATCAGTTCACTGCTATGGGTCTGCTGGATGACAGACAGATTGACTATTACAATAGTGATGGACAGAGAAAGATTCCCAAACAGCAGTGGATGAAAGAGAAAATGCAGGAGGATTACTGGGAAAAAGGCACCCAGTCAAGAAAGAGCAAAGAACAGTGGTTTAATGTGAACGTCGACATTCTGATGAAACGTATGAGACACAATGAGACAGGTGACGATCATTGATACATTTTAACCTGCAAATACATATTTTTATGTACATTTTTAATTATTTTATTATCATCTGACTAACAAACATTTTAATTTGTGTATTTCAGATGTTCATGTTCTTCAGTGGAGACATGGTTGTGAAATTGAGATACATGGAAGTGAAGTGAATTTTTCCAAAGGCATTGATGAGTACAGCTACGATGGAGAGAACTTCCTATCTTTTGATGATAAGGAGTCTCAGTGGGTCGCTCCTGTTGATGCAGCTGTTCCAACCAAGAGAAAGTGGGATAAAGTGCCCATCCTAAACCAGTACACCAAGGGCTACCTGGAGAAAGAGTGTGTGGACTGGCTTAACAAATTCAGAGACTATGAAGATGAGGAGCTCAGAAAGGGCTGTGAGTAAATGTACAGTATTTGTATTTGTTGATGATCTGCAGCTGTCAGAGATATAACTCACTGATAAACTGTTTTCTGTGTTTTCAGCTCCTCCAAAAGTTAATGTGTTTGCAAAAAGTTCTACTAAGGACAAAAGCAAGCTGAAACTCACCTGTCTGGCCACTGGCTTCTACCCCAAAGATGTGATGTTGACCATAAGGAAATATCGCACATCCCTGCCTGAAGATGAGATTGAATCCTCAGGAGTCAGACCAAACCATGATGAAACCTTCCAGCTGAGGAAGAGTGTGGTTATCAAGGAGGATGAAAAAGCAGAATATGATTGTTTTGTGTTTCACAGAACCCTCAAAGGACCAATTATCATCACATGGGGTAGGCAAAGTGAAAGCATTTAATGAAGTTCCAAACATATGTTCGGGAGGAGCCTAATCATTCAGTCCTGTCAATCATCGCTACGAGCGTATATAAGCAGCAGTCATTGCACCGTCCCAGCGACTATTCTTCCGGCATCCCCCACCTCCCCGTTCTTACTCGGAGCTCGAGCCAAGCCTCGGGTTCGAGCCTCCTTCAAGAACAGCAAGCAAAGTTCGTTTATCATTATCTAGCAGGACTGAATGGGCAGGTGCACTCCTGAAATTCAATCATTAAAGCAGGGGTGTTTCTTCAGCGGAAGCAGGGGTGGCAGTGCCTCCTTAAAAATCGAATGAGAAAATAATCCACAATAGAAAAATAGAACACCACAAATATTCTGAAATATATTAAAAAGTGTATAAAGTTTTCCAACAGCGACACCAGCAATTAAAGTTAGAGATTAAAGCTACAGCATCTCTATTGAATTGACTCTTTATTGAGTTTTAATAGATCCCAAAGCATGTCATGAGTTTGGTGGAGGGTAATTGTGAATGAATGGGGAAAAAAGTGATGTTGGAAAAGTCATACCTTGATTGGCCTATTTCATTATTCACACAATAAATCCTGCCTCTCGTGTTAGTGCTAGTTTCACATCCACATATTGATCTGAATAAAAAACTAAAAAAATTATGTTAATGGGAAGTCTAATTTAAAAGTAAGTAGTATAAAGCACCCACTCATCCACCATATCATCACTTTATGTCACATAAAACTTGTAATGGCTTGAAAACATCTGTAAGTTTCTTAGTGAGCAGTCAGCTTGATAATATTATACTGTAGGTACATCTCCATGTCTGTGACCATCACGACACCTGCAGTGTTTACTGAGCTTTGATGACTGATGAACTGCAAATAAGTTGACTATTAAAAAGAACAGCTGAACATCAGTTCACAAAACAACAACAACAGTAATACTAACAACAATTGAAATCTGAAATTTGTAACCGCATTCTTATTATTTTGGAATTAAAGTAAAAAGGCTTAAAAACACTACTAGTTATTAATGAAGACAAAATAGAATTGTTATTGTTTTTTTTATAAATAGAATTTACATTTGATTAAAAGCACTGAGGACTTTGTCTTGTTAAAGGGTAAGCATATGCATTAAAGGGGTCATATGATGCTGCTAAAAAGAACATTATTTTGTGTATTTGGTGTAATGAAATGTGTTTATGCGGCTTAAAGTAAAAAAAAACACATTATTGTCCACATACTGTAAATTATTGTTTCTCCTCTATGCCCCGCCTTTCTGAAACGCGTCGATTTTTACAAAGCTCATCAGTCTGAAAA